GGGGTCAAGTGCGAGAAAGTGGTCCCTGATAGCGCGAAGAGATTCAGGGAGGCGGGTGACTATAAAGTAAAGAGTGATGAACATCGGAGGCTGGTTCCTGTCAAGGAACTCTGCAGGGACGGCAGCGCGGTAGCGAGCGTCGCTAGTGCAAAGGTGGGTAACTAAGTCCTCCACTGTGGCAAAGGCGGACAGCTCAGGAAACAGGTAGGGCAGTAGAAGATGGCCTAGAGCAGCTGTGGCAGGCGAGGAGTAACGGGCGACTACAGCGTCGTACAGTGCCTGTGCTGTCCAAAGTGAGCGCATTCGGCTAACGGCATGTGGTTGCGAATGGCTAAGCGAGCATCAGTGTCATGAGTAAGCCACTGTGGGCGAGTCGCATTGTCAGCTGTGGCGAGAGGGGCTGGAGCGGCGCCAGACGTGTGGGGTTTGTAGAGGTTGGGAGTCATTCCCAACTTGTAACTCTTCCTAATTTGTGTTCTAAGTCTATAGTGGCTGCCATAGTGCCATTCATTCAAACTGATGTTGCGTCATCAATACTTGATGAAATTGTGCGATATAAATTGCCTATTGTAGAAAATATCAAGACGCTCCATATGCAAGTTATAGCAAGTCATTTGAAGCTGTGAATAGAACGCTATCAATGTTTGAAGCTGCTGTGTAGAAGTCCAACTATGCACTCTATCTTTCGTTTTAGGCACATTCAAGCCTAATGTGACTATAAAAAGTGGTATCAGAGCCCCTTGGAGCAGTTTTGACAATGGCTGGACCTGAGGAAAGGGGTGGCAGAGGTGCTGGTGGAAGTGGAGAATCCCAAGCTCAAGGCCAACCCCGTGATTCAGCCATGGCACCCGTGCACCCAAGTCTTGGCCCACCTAGGGATGAACCTAGGGTGTTTGGGCTTGACAAGTTCAATGGCGACAACTTCGCTGAATGGTCCTTCAGAATAGAGAACGTATTTGACCACTATGGCCTGCTGGAGGTGATGGAAGGAATGGAGAAGCGCCCCGAGAACGACCCGGAGAAGAGCTCGTGGGTGCGGAAGAGCGCACAATGATATCTCCTACTTGGGCAAGCGTTGGGGAGCAGCCAGATCCATCACATCAAGCCATTCCAGCGTGAACCAGAGAAGGGACCAAAGGCATGGGCTGCTCTCAAGGGTGTACATGCTCCTGCAACAGCCGCGGTAGCGGTGGTGTTGGAGCGGCAAATGGCGGCACTACGAATTGAAGAAGATGAACCGGTTGAAGAAGGGGTGCAGAAATTCTTCGACTTGTTGACGCGGCTTGAAGAAGCGGATCTCAACTATAGTGAGCTCCAAAAGAAGACCAAGCTGCTGGCCTTACTCCCAGAGTCATGGTCCTCGCTCATCAACCTCAATCATGACTTGCCGCGCCTCTCGCTTGAAGACGTGAAGCGAGCGATCCTTCAAGAGGATTTCCGCCGCCGTGAGTTGGCGGTTTCGGATGGCGTCGGGGCAGCAAGCATCGGCCAAGGATATGGTCGTGGAAGGGGTAGAGGACAAAGAGGAGGAAGGTTTGGAGGCAGCAACTACAACGGAGGCCGCGGAAGTGGCAGCTATGGCAATGACAACAAGAACTACGGACGCGGTCGCGGACGGTTCGACGGCGAGTGTCATTTTTGCCACAAGAGCGGACACATGTGGCGCGATTGCTACAAACTCCCTGATGGATGGACTCCTGCTCAAGGCCAAGAGGGTAGAGGAGCAAGGGTAGGGAGAGGAAGAGGCCGTGGAGGCCGTGGCGGTCGCGGAGGTGGAGCTGCAAACATGAAGAGTGGAGATAACGACAACGAGTTGAGCGACGATCGGGTCAATTCTTCTTCGTCTCAACGCAATCATTGGCTGGACCAGAGAAGGAGGAAGGCTTTGAGGAGCCTGCAGCTTTGGGAAAGGTGACCCTACACTCTCTGGACTATTGGGCGATCGATAGCGGCGCTACCTATAGCATGACACCTCGTGCGGGCTTGGTCACCGAACTTGAACCGTCACCGGTCAAGCATGTCACATCGGCTTTGGGGCAGCGAGCAGAGGTGAAAGGCATGGGCAAGGCCATGTTCAAGGGTGCTGATGGGAAGATGGTGGGCCTCAAGAACGTTCTTTTGGTGCCCAACCTTTCTGCGAACCTGGTTTCCGTGCGGCGATTGCAAAAGGCCGGCATGGACACGAGCTCAAAGGGAGCCAAGACCTACACCGCAAGGCTTGGCGAGCGGATTCTTTGGGACCTTCACGAAGACAATGATGTCTAAAATGAGATGTGGCAGATCCCAGTGGTCCCAATGCCTAAGGCGAGGCAAGTGGCAGCAAGCGTCAGCACCAAGGGTGAAGCGGTTGGTAGCGGCGACGGCGCTAACGATGGCGTTAAGGAGAACGAGTCCAAGAAGTGCAATCTTGGAGGGACCAGCAAGCAGTGTAAGCATAAGGAGAGTGGTGAAGCAGCCAAAGAGGAGCAAAAAGGTGAGGAAAACCCCGAGGAAGCAGCAAAGGAGGAGTACGGAGAGAGCATGTGGGGCACTATTGCGAGTGCGGCATTCTCCAATCCGACTTCGGCTACGGGGGAGTGTGATTGGTTGACTTTGCATCGGCGCATGGGGCATGTGGCTCTGCCTATTTTGCACGAGATACTGAAGGAAGAGATGTTTGCTGGCATACGTGTGAAGGGGGGGCCCAATGAGGTACTTGGTTGCCCGACATGCATGCAAGCCAAGTTCTCCCGATTCCCGTTCTCTAGCTCGGAGGCAACGGCTAAGAGGCCACTTGATGAGGTGGTGATGGATGTAGTGGGCCCCTTGAAGCTTGGAGCTGCTGGAGCAGAGTATTTCCTCACCATTGTAGACGTCTACACCCGCATGACCTGGGTGTATGTGCTCTCCACGAAGAGCAACGTGGTTGAAACGGTGAAGACCGATTGGTTGCCGATGGTGGAGCGACAACAAGACCGGCTAGTGAAAGCAATTTGCACTGATCGAGGGGGAGAGTTCCTGAGCAAGGATTTCTCTATGTGGCTGAAGAAGAATGACATAAGGCACTCCCTTACCACGCCGTACTCCCCTGCAATGAATGGCATCGCCGAGCGAGCGAACCGGACAGTCACGGAGACGGCGCGCAGGTTGCTCATTGAAGTCGGGTTACCCGATTACTTTTGGCCTGATGCGGTGCGGAATGCGTGTGTGGCTAAGAACAGAGCCTTGAATCATGTGGGAACAGACAAATGGGTGCCCTATGTGGAGTGGATTGGAAGGAAGCCAAAGGTGGATATGCTTCGGGTGTTCGGGTGCATGTTCATGGCGCTCGTGCCTAAGCATCTTCGGCACAACAAGCTTGGTGCCAAGGCGATATGGGCTGTGCACTTGGGCATGGCTCAAAACAGCAAGGGATGGCTTCTTTGGGACCCATTCACCAAGAAGTTCTTGGTGAGCAGGGACTGCAAATTCATGGAAAACCTCATGTACAAGGATTCGAAGGCGGAGAATGAGGCGAAGATAGCCGTATGGTTTGGGGAGGTGAAGAGTTCTGGCTTGGAGCATGTGGAGCTGCCTTTGGAGTTAAGTAGCGGTAGCACCATCACAAGGGAATCTCCTCTTGTGAATGGGGGAGAGGAGGCCAGGAATGGAGAGGAAGAGGGGGAGAAGGTGCAACAAACGAGCAAGCGTGCACCGACACTTCCATCTCGAGCAACGAGTGCTCCTCGGATTCGCATCACCCCGCAGCAACGCCATGAGAGCCTTCATATCCCTGCAGCTAAGGAGAAAAGAAGGGGCAAAATGAGAATCCAAGCCCCTAATAGGATGACCTATGATGCGCCGGGAAAGCCAGCCAAGTCAGCCTTGGCGGAGCGGCAATGATGGTTGGAGATGACGAGGAAAGTGATTACGAGGAGTTTGCTTCAACAATAAAACTCCAACAATATATCCTTCAAGTGTAAGAATATATTATATATATATTTATATATAACTGCATATAGTTATAGCTGTAGTGTAGTTACTGTTTTTGTCCCTATAGGTGGTGCACCCTTTGCCATCTCTCGCTCCTATGTCTTGTACCTTGCTTTCTTAGTGAAACACTTCTTCCTTGCTTTCTCAACTCTCTCGACACTTGCCTAGCTCTCACACCCTAGCTATGGCTCATACGATTCTGGCATGGTGTAAGAGTGGTCTCGGGTTCGAATCCCGGTGTATGCACATGTAGGCCGTTGCCGCTGTGCTCAGTCCTGGACCTCCTAGTATGGGGGGGTGTCAGTAGATCTGCACGGTGGATGCCCGATTGATCCTAGGGGGGTTACAGGCATGTTGGCCTGGGGGGTTATGGGCACACTGATCCGCTACTTAACAAGCCCTTTTATCCCAGTGGTCTAGTGACTAGGATTCTGACATGGTATTAAGAGCTGGTTCTAACCTGAGGACCTAACCTCTTTAGGCCCACCACCTGCTGCCCTACGCGCCACCCTCGTGTGGCCCTTCTCTCGACATTAGGCCCCGGCCCATCGCTCGTGCCCGTCGCCCCTAGGCCCTGGCCCCGTCGCCCCTAGGCCCGTCGCCCCTCGGCCCCGTCGCCCCTAGGCCTCGGTCCCGGCCTGTAGCCCGTCGCGCGTAGCCCCTAGGCCCGTCGCCCTTAGGCTCCGCCCCCCCCGGCCCGTCGCTCCCCTAGGCTCGGCCCCGTCGCCCGTCCCTCGCGCCCGACGTCCCTAGGCCCCGGTTCCGGCCCTTCGCCCGTCGCGCAACGCCCCTAGGCCCCGTCGGCCCCGTCTCCCGTCGCTCCCCTAGGCACGGACGGCCCTACGCCCCGCGGCCCCCCCGTCGACCAAGGCCCCTTGGCCCTGTCGCTCGCGCCCGACGCCCCTAGGCCCAGGTTCCGGCCCGTAGCCCGTCGCGCAACGCCCCTATGCCCGTCGGCCCCGTCGCGCCCGCCGCCCCTAGGCCCGTCGCCACCGTCGCCTCTAGGCCCCGGCCTCGTCGCCCAAGGCGCCGTGGCCTGCGGCTCTGTCTCACGCGGCCACATCGCCCGAGGACCTGTCGCCCGCGGCCTCGTCGCCCCTTGCCTCGTCGCCCGAGAACCCGCCCCCCCCAACTTCGTTCTCCCTCTCCCTGCTGAGCGTGCAACAGAAAAGGAGGGGGGGGGGGGGGGGGGGGGGGGGGAGAAGGGAAGGGAGTTGGGGGCGCGGATCATGGAGGGTGAGGGGGTGGCAAGAGGGGTGCGGTTCCGGGGGGTGGCTGACCTAAGGGGTGGCAGGAGGGGTTTCTGCAACGCCAGCCACCCACCACCTCCTCCTCTCTCTCTCCCTGCCGCACCTTGTGTTGGGAGGGGGGGGAGCTTGGAGGTTAAGGGGGTGGCGGGGAGGGGATCTGCAGCATCAGCCCCCCCCCCCCCCCCTTCTCCTCCATTCCACTGCTGCGGGTGCAGCAGTGGGGGGGAGGGGATCTGCAGCACCAGCCCCCCCCCCGCCCCCCCCCCCCCCCCCTTCTCCTCCATCCCCCTGCTGCGGGTGCAGCAGTGGGGGGGAGGGGATCTGCAGCACCAGCCCCCTCCGCCCCCCCCCTTTCTCCTCCATCCCCCTGCTGCGGGTGCAGCAGTGGGGGGGGGGGGGGAGGGGGGGGGGGTATGGGGGTGGCGGGATCTTGGAGGTTCAAGGGGTGGCAGGAAGGGATCTGCAGCACCAGCTCCCCCCCCCCCCCCCCCCTTCTCCTCCATCCCTCTGCTGCGGGTGCAGCAGTGGGGGGAGGGGATCTGCAGCCCTGTGCGCCCCGTGTGCCCTGCTGCCCTGCTGCCCTGTGCACCCCGTGCGCCCTGCAGCCCTGCGCGCCCCGCGCGCCCTGCTGTCCTGCTGCCCTGCGCGCCCCGCGCGCCCTGCTGTCCTGCTGCCCTGCGCGCCCTGCGCGCCACGCGCGCCCTGCTGTCCTGCGCGCCCCGCGCGCCCTGCTGCCCTGCTGCCCTGTGCGCCCCGCGCGCCCTGCTGCCCTGCTGCCCTGTGCGCCCCGCGCGCCCTGCTGCCCTGCTGCCCTGTGCGCCCCGCGCGCCCTGCTGTCCTGCAGCCCTGTGCGCCCCCCGCGCCCTGCTGCCCTGCGCGCCCCGCGCGCCCTGCGGCCCTGCGCGCCACGTGCGCCCTGCTGTCCTGCGCGCCCTGCTGTCCTGCAGCCCTGTGCGCCCCCCGCGCCCTGCTGCCCTGCTGCCCTGCGCGCCCCGCGCGCCCTGCGGCCCTGCGCGCCACGCGCGCCCTGCTGTCCTGCGCGCCCCGCGCGCCCTGCGGCCCTGCGCGCCACGCGCGCCCTGCTGTCCTGCGCGCCCCGCGCGCCCTGCGGCCCTGCGCGCCCTGCGCGCCCTGCTGTCCTGCGCGCCCCGCGCGCCCTGCGGCCCTGCGCGCCCCGCGCGCCCTGCTGCCCTGCTGCCCTGTGCGCCCCGCGCGCCACGCGTGCCCTGTTGTCCTGCGCGCCCTGCGCGCTCTTCTGCCCTGCTGCCCTGTGCGCCCTGGGCGCCCTGCTGCCCTCTGCACGCGCATCTGCGGCCCCATGCACAGCCCATACCCCGCCCCCCCCCCACCCCCCCACTTCTCCTCCCTCTCCCTGCTGCACGTGCAGCAGTTTGGGTGGGAGGGGAGGGGAGGGGAGGGGAGGGTGTGAGGGGGAGGTTGCACCTACAGCACCAGCCTGCCTCCTCTCTCTCCCAGCCGCACCTGCTGCTGTGGGGGGGAATGTGAAGTGGTGGGGAGGCTCAGGGAATGTGGGTGGTGGGTGACACAACTGCCGCAAATGTCGCCACGCCTCCTCCTCTCTCTCCTCACTGCCGCTGCTGCTGCTGGTGGGGGGAGGTTGAGGGGGTGGTGTGAGTCCAGCTGCAGCATCAGCCACCTCCCCCCACCCTGCCCCCCCTCCCTTCTCCTCCCTCTTCCTGCTGCGCGTGCAGCAGTTGGGGGGGAGGGGAGGGGTGTGGGGGCGGAAGGTGTGAAGGGGAGGCTACACCTACAGCGCCAGCCTCCTCCCTCTCCTTGCTGCGCGTGCAGCAGTTGAGGGGGGGGAAACAGGGGGGGGGGAAGGCGGGTGACTCAACTGCAGCAACTCCCGCCACGCCTCCTCCTCTCTCTCCTCACTGCTGCTGCTGCTACTGTGCGGGGGGAGGTTGAGGGGGTGCTGTTAGTCCAGCTGCAGCATCAGCCGCCTCCTCCTCATTGGCCCTCTCCTTCTTCCGCTGCGCAGGGTGTACCCCTTCAGGGGGTGTTCTGCACATGGCTATTCCTGCATGCAGTTAGGGGGTGTGTCAGAATATATTATATATATATTTCTGTATAACTGCATATAGTTATAGCTGTAGTGTAGTTACTGTTTTAGTCCCTGTAGGTGGTGCACCCTTTGCCATCTCTTGCTCCTATATCTTGTACCTTGCTTTCTTAGTGAAACACTTCTTCCTTGCTTTCTCAACTCTCTCGACACTTGCCTAGCTCTCACACCCTAGCTATGGCTCATACGATTTTGACATCAAGCAGGTGCAGGTTGCGCATGCGTCCATAGCCTTTACAAACTTCAGCGACAGCTCGATGCACGCTGTAACGTCTCCATCCGTCTCGTGGTCAGGGAGGGGCCGCTCGTGCATGGTATAGTCAAAGGAGACGGGCTTGCCCTCAGCGTCAACTCCTTCGGCCTTCATCTCCCTCTTCTCTAGCGATTGGTGGTTCTTGATAAACTCCGGCAGTTGCATTTTCTCCCCGGCTCCGAAATGGCCTGCAGGGTCCCTCAAGGAATAGCGGGTTTCCAGGCGCAGCCTTGTTTTCTGCACGATGTGCGCCACAAGGGTGACGTTGCACCCACGCGCTGACGTTTCAATGGCGTGGTGCTAGCTGTTGACGGAGTCCCCGCGGTTGCCTTCGACGAGCCTTCGCCACCACCGGGAACAAGGACCAGCGAGGGGTGTGGCTCGAACGCCGATGGTGAATCGATTGGCTCGAACGGGTAGACCGTTCCTACCTCACAGTCCGGCGAGGCGTCAAGCTGTGGCAGCGTGATGGGGTCGGTGTAGTTGTCGAGAAGGCGGGGTAACACCCCAAGCACGGATAACCCATTTTTGGTGCTACCAGGGGGATCTGCCTCTGCAACAGGCATGATTGAGAGACGACAGTGTGCTGTAAAAGAGCGATGAACAAGAAGGGGTCCCTTTGGGAAAGCAAGAACCCCAAACAGGCCCCACTGGATTGATGCCCGCGCTGCGCGGGCAATGCATGGGTGCGAGTGCAGCACCACAATGACTGCCAGCCGTTGCGTGCGACAGCACGAAGCTGTGTTGGTGCGCTACGTGATAGAAATGGCAGTGGGTCTGGTGTGGCAAGGCATCAATTTCCTGTGCGCTGGCAAACAAATCTGCTAACCTGACGAATAGGATGCAATGGCGGCCCGCCGACCAGAAATCTCAATGTTGCACCCGTGGACCAACTCGACAAGTAAAATTGTGGGCCAGTGGGCCGTTTTGTATGCTCGTCACCTGTGTCCGAATCCTCGGTAAGGAACATTCGGTAACAGGGTAATGGAAATCGCACCCTGTTCAGAAAGGGTAATCAAAATTTGACTCACGGTATAATATTTCATAGCCTGTTTGGTCTAGGGTAAAAAATCTCATACCCGGATTCTGAAAGGGTAACTCGAAAAAAACAGCCGCTCATCAGGGAAAACAGGGTAAAATACCCTGATAATTTGGGGCTTGATGGCATCGTCTCATTTCAAATGGGTCTTCTGAGACATGTGTCTTGTTGGTCGCCATTGTCAAGAACTGAATTGTGATGTCACTAAGGTTGGTTGGGGTACATAAATCTAACCCTAACTGTTGTACCGCATATGACACACATCACTAAGACTATAACATTTGACACACCCCCATAGCCTAAGTGAGGTGAGGGGTGTCAAGCAAAACCAACAACGTATGGTCACAGGACCAGTCACAAAGCAACAAAGCTCAGGGTGGATCACAATGTCACCACACACTCTGAGGACAGGCAAAAGAGCCATAAGTCCAGTTCAAGAGTTCACAGAGGTATATATAAAGCGTACAAACAAAGCAAGCAGAGAACTCAAGACTACACAAGGCGAGAACCTGTTTCAACGAGACATAACTGCACACAACACCTCTGATGGTCACAAGGCGGAAGGTCCTTGGTGAAGATGTCTGCAGTGTTTGCCTCGGACTCCACAAAGTTGAAGCAAGCCTGTCCACGCCTCTGCAACTCTCGCAGAAAAAAAGTACCTGACATTGATGTGCTTCACTCGGCTCTCCAGTAGCGGCTCTCAACAGAGGAGAATCGATGCCTTGTTGTCAGTGAACAAGGTCGGTGCAGAGCTCGGCCGCTCACCAAGGTCGGTGAGCAAGAAATTCAACCAATGCAGCTCCTGTGCACCCATGGCTCCAGCGTAGATCTCAGCCTCAGCGCTAGAGGTCGAGACCGAGGAGGAACGCGTGGACCTCCACGAAACAGCTCTAGAGCCCAGGCTGAAGCAGTACCCCTGAGTAGACCTATGAGTCTCGGCGTCGTCAGCGTAAGAGGATTCACAGTGTCCAGTAAGTACGACAGACTGTCTCCCTCCAAGAACCAGCCCCACGCCTGATGTCATCGCTAGGTACTTCGCCACCCTCACAGCAGCTGTCCAGTGAACTGGACGGTGTCTTCCTGGCGCAACAAAGCGAGCAAGGATGCTGAGAGGGAAGGCGAGGTCCGGGCGAGTACAAGTCATAAGGTACATGAGGCAACCCACAAGCTCTGCGTAGGGACCACTAGGCTCAAACGGCTCGTCAAAAAAGGGTCCAGTGAGTCTGTGGTCAACAGAAAGAGGTGTGCGCTGTACTGTGGAGTGCTGATTCTTGAACCGCTAAAGGACCTGCTGCACCATGTGTGACTGTGAAAGTGTAATGGTGCGAGCGGCTCTGTCACTGGTGATCTACAGGCCAAGGTAGTGGCGCAGCTCACCAAGGTCAGTACACGTGTGTCTCTTCTGCACTTCGCACTTCACGTCAGCCAAAGCAACCCTGTCAGCAGTGGCGAAAACCAGGTCATCGACGTAGAACAGTACAAAAAACGGTGTGGAGCCACGACGAACAAACAGTGACAAGTCGGCAGAAGACGGCTGGAAACCGAGGTCAGACGGGGTAGAACGAAGGGTGTTGTGCCACTCACGAAGAGCCTGACGGAGATCGTAGACCGGTCGCCTCAGCCTCCACTGGGTCCCAGGAGGGAAAGTGTCAGTGAAGGCAGAGGGACGACGCAACCAGACCTCCTCATGTAGGCTACCCTGAAGGAAGGCAGTGGAGAAGTTGAGAGAGTGTAGCTCGTAGTCTCTCTGTGCTACTACGTGCAGTAACACCCAAAGAGTGGTCATACTCGGACTCCACCATGCTCAATGCTTGGTCCACCTACTTCTTGCTCTCTCAAGCAATTGGGCCTCCACCAACACAGCAAATGAAGCCTCCCACACTTGTCATGTCCTCCTGTTCTGATGCATAAGAGGCATCGGAGAAGGCTGTGAGGAACAAACGCTTGGGTTCAACACCATCCGCGCCCTTTTGGCGCCTTTGTGCCGCCGCCGAGTATTGCAGCCCAACCGTCGCTGTTTGGCCAAGATACTTGGCCACCCTCATTCCAACTGCTACCTGCTCCTCATTAAGGCATTGAAGAACCCTAGCCAGCTGCCCGGTAGCAAAGGCGACGTCCGGTCAGGTGTTTACCGCCGCGTACATGAGGCTGCCCACCAACGAGTGAAAACGACGCCTCTCCTCTTCGCCAACACTCTCCTCCTCTGGTCCCTTCACACACTTAAACCCAGAAGGGAATGGAGTAGCCACATGGCCTTCAATCTGCCCAAAGTTGGCAGCCAAGGCCTCCAGGTACTTCCGTTGGTGCACACGCATGCACCGTTTCTCCACATCTCGTTCGATGTGGAGCCCGAGGTAGAAGCTCACGTCACCAAGGGCCTTGCACTTGAACTTGTCTTGAAGCTTCAGCATCACCTCCTTCACAAGGTCAGAGGAGGGTGAGAAAATGAGGACGTCATCCACATAAACCACCATGAAACTCCTCTACTCCCCCTCGCCAAGCATGAACAAGGAATGATCGGCGGATGAGGGAGTGAACCCGATCTCCTCCAAGACTTAGCGCAGCTTCAAGTACCTTCTTCAGCTTCCACACTCTGCCAGTACCATCATCAACCCCTCTGGCTGCGCCATAAAAATATCTTCCTCAAGGACGCCGTTAAGGAATGCCGTTCTCACATCCATTTGTTTCACCACCCATCCTTTGATGGTAGCTCCCGCGAGTAGGGTTCGCAGCGTCGTCGGCTTCACCACAGGAGCAAACAATTCCTTGTAGTCCACCTTCTCTTTCTGCTGGTACCCCTTGGCCACAAGCCTAGACTTTTAGCGCTCGATTTTGTCGTCGACGTCGGACTTGATCTTGAAGAGCCACTTGGACGTAATCGCCTTACGGCCCTCCGGTAGCTCCACCAATTCCCACGTGTCGTTCTCCTCAATGCTCTTCAGTTCACTCTCCATTGCCTTCTTCCACTCCTCAGCATCACTACTCTCCAAGGCCTCCTTGAGAGTTGCTGGTTCCCCGCGAAAGCAAACTCCTCGTACTCACTTTCCTCGTCATCTCCAACCATCATTGCCGCTTCGCCAAGACTGGCTTGGCTGGCTTTCCCGGCGCATCATATGTCATCCTATTAGGGGCCTGGATTCTCCTTTTGCCCCTTCCTTCCTCCTTAGCTGCAGGGATATGAAGGCTCTCATGGCGTTGCTGCGGGGTGACGCGAATCCGAGGAGCACTCGTTGCTCGAGATGGAAGTATCAGTGCACGCTTGCTCGTTTGCTGCACCTCCTCCCCCTCTTCCTCTCCATTCCTGGCCTCCTCTCCCCCATTCAAAAGAGGAGATTTCCTTGTGATGGTGCTACCGCTACTTAGCTCCAAAGGCAGCTCCACATGCTCCAAGCCATAACTCTTCACCTCCCCAAACCGTACGGCTATCTTCGCCTCATTCTCCGCCTTCGAATCCTTGTACATGAGGTTTTCCATGAATTTGCAGTCCTTGCTCACCAAGAACTTCTTGGTGAATGGGTCCCAAAGAAGCCATCCCTTGCTATTTTCAGCCATGCCCAAGTGCACAACCCATATCGCCTTGGCACCAAGCTTGTTGTGCCGAAGATGCTTAGGCACGAGCGCCATGAACATGCACCCGAACACCCGAAGCATATCCACCTTTGGCTTCCTTCCAATCCACTCCACATAGGGCACCCATTTGTCTGTTCCCACATGAGTCAAGGCTCTGTTCTTAGCCACACACGCATTCCGCACCGCATCAGGCCAAAAGTAATCGGGTAACCCGGCTTCAATGAGCAACCTGCGCGCCGTCTCCGTGACTGTCCGGTTCGCTCGCTCGGCGATGCCATTCATTGCAGGGGAGTACGGCGTGGTAAGGGAGTGCCTTATGTCATTCTTCTTCAGCCACATAGAGAAATCCTTGCTCAGGAACTTTCCCCCTCGATCAGTGCAAATTGCTTTCACTAGCCGGTCTTGTTGTCGCTCCACCATCGGCAACCAATCGGTCTTCACCGTTTCAACCACGTTGCTCTTCGTGGAGAGCACATACACCCAGGTCATGCGGGTGTAGACGTCTACAATGGTGAGGAATTACTCTGCTCTAGCAGCTCCAAGCTTCAAGGGGCCC